GAATGTGCTCAAGCCACCAATACGCATTCTTTTCTTAGTGCCAGTTGAGGTCATTTCGGTGCCACAACACTTTTCATTCAATGGTCTAACAAAGTTCACATGCCAGCGACGAGCTGTTTTGACGCCGCATAGCATCCATGAAGTTCCTAGCCCTGTAGAATATCTCGCTGACTTACCTTCGCAGAATGTGCCAGGAGACCGTACATTGTAAACGACACTTTTGCCTCCAAAGGTATGTGATTGTGCAACGGATATGACCTTAAGTAGCCCTATCAGCTTGCAAAATGTAGCGGATTATGAAACGAAAACGTACGTCATCACTTTGATTCCATCATAAGTTCCGTTTACTTTATAGTAATATAATTTCAATAAGGCCTGGCCTGCTATAAAATTGTCCCATATCTGTAAACAAGGAATTGCTTCCGAATTCAGCGAGAGAATCATTCGTTGTTCAAGGCGATTTTCAGGGGAAGAATAAGGACGTGAACTGTCCTGAGCTGATTGGTCTTCACTACTTTCCGGCATACACCACGCACAAACACATTCGGAGTTGTTGTGAAAGGTTATGTTATACTTATACGTCGCTTTCTTCACTTTTTATGCTCAGCAAAGTACAGGTCAGTAGTGTTTGTGCCTCTCTCAAGTGTACTATGCCAGAGAGTCGCCCCTACCAGTGAATAGCTAAGGTGATCTATCCCAGCTTTACCCCCAAGAGCTTTACCCCCCTTTCCCTTGAGTCAACTATGGTGCATCTTTCCGCAAGTCACCGCCGCTTCCCCTTGTAAAAGCCGAGTTGGCTCTATTTATGGGACAAACGGAAAAGGGATGACCCACATCGCGCAGCTCACGCAAGCTTTTGAGGTCGTAGAAATAGGCGCCGAGTGGGAGAGGGTGGAGCACAAATGGCCATTCGGAGCCGTCTACCACTCTCGTCCTCCTCGTGCTCAGCTTTATGCGCCTGGCCAGTTCATCAAACGCACTCCTGTACTCACACCATTCTGCCCAGTGAGCATTAAATCTTTCTTTCTTGATGACCAGCAGAAGTTTATTGGCTGGACCAAACTTTACTTTGAGCTATATGATATGATAAAACTTACCAGACCTTTGTTGAGCATACCCATTATCCACATGATCATATCCTTCAGTTTAGACGTGGGTATGCATGGTTTCACTGAAAAGCAATAATTTTATCTCTGGTGCGGTGGGCTGGGGGAACCACGCAGCGGCGCGGCGCTCTGCTCGCCTGGCGCTATCAGCGAGATAGCACTCAGCCTGAGTCTTGGAAGGGATGGGAGGACTGTTACTAATTCGTTTTGTGATTTGGAACAGCCTAAGGGCGCAGTGTGCCTCCGCGGGGGGGGGGGCGGTCTGTCGGAAGGCCACTAGGACTAAAGCTCGAGCCTGATATGACACAGTCTTGGTCTGCCACAGCCTCCATTGCAGTAGGCTTCTTCTTCTTCTTCTCCTTAGCGTTAGTCCCGCGCAGTCGCAGGGTCCGCTGTCTTTGTCAGTCGTCGCCACTTCGCTCTGTCTAGGGCATCTCCTGCAGTGGCCGTGATTTCACCTAGGTCCTTCTTGATCACATCCTTCCACCTCTTCTTTGGGGCTCCTCGCGGTCGCTTGCCTTGCACTTCGAAGTCCATCGCATTCCTTATCGGGTGGCCTTGCGGTCTTCTCAGCACATGTCCATACCACCGCAGTCGTTGCTCCCTCACCTTCAGCTGGACAGGGGCAGTCTGCATGACCGCTCTGACATCCTCGTTCCTGACCCTATCCAGTCGCGTCCAGCCGCAGGCCCACCTCAGCATCCTCATCTCAGCGGAGTGAAGCTGCCTTTCGTGATTCTTGTTCAGGGGCCAGCACTCGCTGCCGTAGAGCATCGCAGGCCTTACCACTGTTCGGTACACCTTCCCTTTGAGCGCTCTGGAGCACCTTCGGTCGCAGAGGATTCCAGTGGACTCCCTCCATTTCATCCATGCCGCGTTGATCCTCCCCATTACTGCCTGGTCCACACTGCCGTCGGCCGCCAGATCACTCCCAAGGTATCGGAAGTCCTCTACTCTTTCGATGCTTTCACCATGCCCGTCCATGATCGGCTCTGCACCCTCTTCAGAACTCAGGAACTTGGTCTTCTTGACATTCAGCCGTAGTCCGCCTTCTGCCAGGACCTTCTGCCATTGCTGCACCTTGGCCTGTAGTTCCTCTCTACTATCCGCTATCAGGGCGATGTCGTCAGCGTAGAGGATGGTCTTCAGTGGTCCTTCCATGAGCCCTTCACCAGGACATCTAGTGTTAGGAGGAAGAGGAACGGGCTCAGAGCTGACCCTTGGTGCACCCCAACCGTGATGTCCACCTCCTTCGTTAGGCCGTGTGGGGTGCGTATGGCTGCCTTGGCCCCATCGTACATATCCTTCACCAGCGAGACCAGGTGTTCTGGCACGTTCTCAAACGCACCAAACTTCTGCTTTATAGAGCGGACAACACCTTTTGAAACCTAACTGTATAGGAGTGCCCTCACCAGTACGCGTCCTGTGAAGTTGTGCGACTGTGAAGTGATAGGGAGTGGAATGGGTTTACGCACGCCTGAACTAGAGATCCCCACGGGGCCCAAACTTCATCTGAAAAAAAATATAAAAATCTAGGACGGATGTCGGCGACAGCAATAGGCCAGTGCGGGGTCCTGAAGAAAAACGTCCCGATTAAAAGTGTCAGCTGCCATTCGTGAAATAAGGCGGAGGCTCGGGTATGGTAGTCCGTAAAAGCTGCTGGATCACTGCAGGGTTCGAGATTTGGTGAAAGTGGACACATACCTTTAGTTTTGCGTTTAGAAGGTACTGCATATCTACACGTATGGCAAGCGCACCGTACTGACATGGTCTTCTAGCGATAGAGTGACCCAAACATCGCATCTCAGCTGTAAACCTGCTTTGGACAGCAGAGTGTGCCCTTAACGTAGGGACGACATAGTCACATCTTCCATATGTCTTAGAAACACTGTGGAAGAAGGTAGGAAAACCTTCAGCCGAAAAAAAGAGCCAGAAATAGGGAAACTAACCAAACCTGAAGAAGAATTGAAAAATTTATCTCAATAGAAGAGTATTCATTAACTGATTCCATAGTCTGGCCTTGTTAAGAGTTCAACGACTGCAAAGGTTATCAAAAAGTTGTTGAATCCACTTAATCTTTTTTTTCATGCGGTCTCGTTTCGATTGGAGTTTGAATGTACCGTAGAAATTTTAGAGAAAGTTTAGAGAAAGGTTTTTCATTAGCAACACTTTCTTTTTTGAAAGTGGTGTAGCAGTTGAGCGAAGAAGGCTTACCTTCAACACATGGTAAAATGTGAACTGATTTGGTTCGATAGAAAAAAGTCACAGTAGAAAACATATTCCACCCGAGACCTTTGCGCGCGCCGCTGTATTCTCGAAATCGAAAAGCTGTACTTGTCATCATACCTGGGATAGTAGCAAATTCGACAACTCGTCGCCCCTTGCATGAAGTTTCGCGAACAGCATATGAGACGCATGTATCTTCATGAGCCTCGACCCTAACGAGGAGCAAGGACAGCACTGCGGAAATAAGCATCATTTTGACTGCGACAAAACTTTGCCCTTCTTTTTCCTTTTATGTGCGTAGTAGCAGTATCACAACTGAGCTATATTGTTTGCATTATATTCGCCACAGACACTCTTTTGAAAAATATTTCCGATGTAATCGTTGTTGACATCACAGTCACGCCTACATCGTTTTGACGGTCCTAAGGACGGCTTGCTGGGAGAATCCGCGGGTATCTGTGATGGCGTGAAGAGAGTGGCTATTGAGGTGGATCTGAGTGATCACAGCGCAAAGCGGATATTACACTAGTGCTTGTATGATGACGAAATTTACTAATAAGCCTCCTGAAGGATGTTGATTAATAATGTTCGACCGACGACATGCAGCATAACTACAAAGGTGTCGAAATTTCGCAAATGTTACTTTGTCAGGACTGCCCCTGTGTGACGACGATCTCCCATAACAATAATTGTTAAGGTGACGGTTGCATCTTGTTTTGCTTGAGCCATTAGTCGATAGCTCCAGCTTCTTACTCTCTATGTGGAAGATTGAGAAGAACGAAAGCGCAAATAAAATGAAATTGAGGCAGAGCTTCGCTATATCCGATACCGCTCATCGTCGTTACGATTGGGTGGTTAGTGGCATCTATGGCCTGCACCCCCATTATTCTAGTGCAGTATTCGCAAATTTTGTTCAATTCACATCACAGTTTCGAAATCGCTGTTAGCGTTGGATGTAGATGGCTTGATCGAACAGGATTGGATTGCGAAAACATCACTTCTCAACATCATAATTTTGGCTGCAATACACCCATGAAACCTATTCATGAACGGTAAGAGCTGCTAGACAAGTCATATGGATGCAATAGGGCAAAAAAAATGTTGATAGGATCTATTACAAAACATTTTCTATAACAAATAGGCGATAAGAGAAAACCTTACTTCTTGGTTACCAGGAAGCTTCTGCGATCCATTTCTTTCACTGCATGCAATCATCAGAACCACAGCATAAAAGAACGAACCAGGTGATTCAAGGAAATCTTTAGAAGGTATTGGAGTTGTTCTACAGTTCCTGTCAGACTTTCGTACAAGTTCAGTTTTCTTCAAGTCAAACCAGTGTCACTACGAAATATGTCAGTATGTTAAGGAGTGCAAGGCTCTCAGCGAGATGATTTTCGAAATTGAATTTCGCAAGGGGATAACTATCTAGTAGACGAAATTGATCAACGATCAAAACGAACGATTACGTTTAATGACTATTCAAAGGCGAAGCTTGCAATGAGCGTAGACACTATCAGTATGTTTGACCCAGTCCCAGCTAGTGATGAGGCACTGCAATATTGGCTCGATCAACAAAGACGGTACGAGCTGCAATGTTCGACCTAGTACGTAACCCTTAGACACTCTCAATGAGAACCCCTTGCGACATTAGGCCGATGTCATAGTTTGCGAGTCGGTCCGAGCGTTGCGCCAGCGAATCGACCGATATATCAGCGAGTCGAACTAGGTAACAGCGACTCAATGGTGGCGGGTCCCAACGTTCAGAGGAAGGAACTCTGAGACAGTGTCCACCGTCAAGTCCCGCCACTTTGAAACAGCGTCCAACAGTCAAACAGCCAAGTAACGCTGTTTGAAAGTGGCGGGACTTCCTTTGAACGTTGGGTCCTGCCACTATTGAGGTGCTGGTACCTACTCAACTCGGTGGTGCATCGCTGGATTCGTTGGCGCAACGCTCAGACCCAGCAGCTCGCTAGCGAATCGCTCGGTTCGCAAACTATGACAAAACGTCTTTAATTAGAAGCGCAGTCGGACGCTACTGCTAGTAATAGCTGGGTAACAGCCAGGCATCGCCGAGCACACCGCTGGCCATTTGGCATGAAATGATTCAATGAATGGCCGCCAGCCGAAGTAACACTCTCCATGGAAACTGTATGCACCAACCACCATGACCCAGAAGCACCCTGATCATGGGGAAATCTCTTTCTGCGAACGCATATGCAAAGCCTCCCCTAGTGTTGGCCACCAGTGGAGGTGAGTCACGAGTCCACCACAACAACAACCTACGCTTTATGACTGCTCCACCTACAAATCCACCATCTCAACCGAAAACTAATCTCTGCCATAGAGCTTCACGCGTTCGATGGATCCGCTTATATTCAGATTCGGAACGTGCACTAGTATGCAGGCAGGCAATTGCAAGGGTTATTGTGGAGACGCTTCCGAGGTTGCCTCTGCAGTGCGAGAGAACGGTTCGAAAGGCCTTGAAATCTCCTTTGTCCAAAAAAAACCGCCAAAAATCACATTGCAAAGACAACTCAGACGTTTCAATGGGAAAACAAGGGGAACTGGCTGGACCACAGTAGCACACCATCGTATGGCCCTGTCATTAAACCATCAGATTATTCCCCCACAGCGCTCTGAAGCACTAGCTTCAATGAGAAAAACATCATGGAACTACCATCGCCCCAAAACCGACCTCTGAATTCTTGAACCCTTATGGTTAGTTCCACTAACTGTGTGGAGAGCTGCATCCACTTGCTTGTACATACCAGTGATCATGATAGTTGTTCTATAGTTGACCAATCGATTTTCAGAAAAGAGAACTCTCGGAGAGAGAAAAAAGTGAAAATCGGATAGAAATTATGGGACAAACCGATACGTCGCGACCTTATCGGTCGTTTGAAGTACACGACATTCAACTTGTGAGAACTGTGAAAGACATTCTATTCATGTTAAATAAGACTCAGCAGCTCGGAGAATGGCGTTGAACAAGGAATATCGTCCAGCAAAGTTGCAACACGTCGGCGGCTCATTGTGGGCATAATTGTGTCAGTTCCACCGATGCAGCATCTTTTTTCATCCTTTTTAGGCGAGCAGTTTTCGAATCGTCGCGTGGCAACTTTGTAGATGATATGTCTCATTCAACGCTAACGGGCTACCAAATGTTGTTTGAAGTAGATAGAATGTCTCGCACATTTCTGATTATCTGAATGTCGTCTGACCGATAATTCGTGATATTTGAATGATTTCGTTTGAATGCGTGACTTCGGCAGCAACCACTAGCAAGTTCTATGGTAATAGCGAATGGGATTATTGGAAGTGGGGTAATAGCGAATGGGATTATTGGAAGTGCTGACAGCAACATTTGACCGATTAGCACGGTCTTAACACATTCACTAATAGCAAGATTATGAGTATGATATTTTGATTTTCTTTTTTTATTTATGTTTTCTAGTAGTGCGCTCAAGGGAAAATTGGAGGATAGGTGATTCCATTTCGGGAAATGATACCGCCTTTCATGGTACCTATGCTATACTCAAAACAAAGGGTGTGGACAACGGACAACCGTGAGAGAGCAAGCTTCTTTCGAGCGATGGATCGCTGTGAGGCTTCGTGGTAACGCGGGAGTGAAGTTTTTCCATTAGGTATATTCTGAAAATTACTAAATTTTGTCAACATTCTTTTCACTCTATGCGCCCATGTGACTTGTCTAGCAGCTCTTGGTGTTCATGAATAGGTTTTATGTACATATTCCAGTCGAACTGATGGTGTTGAAAAGTGGTGCTTTCGCAATCCGATGCTGTTTGGTCAAACAGGCTACATCCAATGCTAATAAAGAGTGCGTAAGCGTGAAGTGATAAACAAGTCTGCGAACATTTTATTATACTAGAATAGGGGGTGCCTGCCATCTCACTAACCATCCACTCGTTACGATGTGTTGGCGACATCTGAAAAGCTAAAAAGCGAGATAAAGAATTTCGAAATCAGTTTATAGACTTATTTTATTTGCCCTCTATTTTTCTCAATCTTCGTCCAACAACAGTAAATAGCCGGAGCTATCAAAACCCAAGAATCAAGCAAAACTAACAAGATGCAAGCATCAGCTTAACAATTATCATGATGGGAGATTATCATGATGGATTAGCAATCATCATGATGGATTAACAATTATCAATTATCATGCATTAACTTTGTGTGACCTCAAAGTCAGGTTCGTTCAGAAATGCACTTGGCAGAATCAAATGTCCTCCCAATGTTGAAGCTTTCTTTTGGGTTCAAAAACGACGAACCCCGTTCAGCGTCCTTCTCAGTTCCAAACATTGTGAGGTTTCTGAAAAACTGTTCTCCGTGGCATGAGTATACTCCAATCCTTCGCGATTGACTATTCAACAGCAACTGGTCCTTTCTGCAGTAAGTCGCTATCAGAAAGCAATAATGTTAAAGTCCTAAGGCAGGAAACAAAACGATTCACCTGATACTCACGCGCTGATAAGCTCCATATTATGCTCCATCAACAATAGCGAACTACTTCAGACCGAGTTCTCTATGTTCTTGGAAGTGAGTGCAAGACAACGGGATTTTGATATTTAAAAGACATCTATGATCGGAGAAACCACCCCGAGTTTAATTTCAAATTGGGTAGATCTACTCTCCCTTGATTTTGAGTGCTTCATTATCGATATTGTACTTGAAGCTACTTGTAGATCCAACTATATTATAGAGCGTTTTGTACACGAGACCCAACGCTCTTTAGACATTCTGTGCTTATGTAAGACCTCTATTTGACCCCAGTTTGGTCCTCCCAGGAGGCTCGTCTTAGTGACAAGCGTAATAACTTCACGGGAAGTTCAAACCATCGCATTTCTACTGAGGGGTGGGCGTGTTTTCGATCGATTATATGAATCGACCTTCGCAGATTAATCCTTAACGCTGAAACATCGTAGAAAAATAACTGATCTGTGTGTTTTATAGTTGGTACTGTGCCAAACAGGATCTTTATTGAGTCTAACGTTCCGACAAATTCGTCGTTATCAAAGGCCTGCAAGCGTTTCAAACCTTTAAGCGCTTTCTATCCGTCAGCAAAATGGCATTCGGCCAAGTCAGCATTGCGTATTACCAGGGATTTGGAACCCTAAGGGTTCTCACCAAATTCCACGGTGCGTTGAATGAAGCTCCGTAGTGCACCTGCGAAAATCGGTAGAATAAATGAGACCAACCGATCGTGCGCTGTTTATAAGGAAAAAAAAAAAAACA